GTCCATAAATTTCAATAAATATTTTTTGAATAAGTGAAAAAAATAAATGCCTTACACATTGTAAGTGGATATTTTCCATATTAATATTCCCAAGATCATCCTAAAATCACTTAAATCAATTTAGATAAAAGAAACCAGAAATTATAAATAGTGACGAGCTGCCTAAAGTTCTACTTAATGGGTCTAGTTATATTTCTAAGGTGGACTTGCCTAAGAACAAGTAAGAGACAGTCAATATGTAAACTCCTCCTTTCTGTGTTGATAAAATGCTTCAGATACGTGCCACTTTCAATCCTAAACTCCTTTTCCAGTGTTTTTTTAGCTTTTCAAATTGTGAGGCCAAAACCTGCCTTAGGAGCTAATGACTTTAAACACCTCTCATTAACACCACAGATCCACGCTGGAACAAGGAAGGAGTTCTGGGGCCCAAGGGGTAGGCCGTAGGGCCAGCGAGTACTGGGAGCTTGAAAGTCACGTCATCCTTATGCCCGGGTCTTCATGGCTTTTGACGGCTTGGGCAGATTTGGGAGAGATCTAAATTAAGAATCAGCTCCCCAGACTGGGAGCCACCAGACTTTATCTCAGGTGATGTGTTCAGGAAAGAAAACCAAAGCTTTTGGTCTTTACAAACACTGAACCTAGGGGAAATTTGAGTCTCCATAGGTAGTGGAATGCAATGTTCTAATTAGAAGCTGAGTTGGGTTGTGTGTCTTGGTAGTTACAAAGTTTACAACAAAATTCATCCTCCAGCCTCTAGACTCAGGAAAGGAAATTTTCAAGGTTCTGCAGCTTTGTTTTGTTTTGTTTTGTTGTTGTTGTTTAGTGTCGATTCTCTCTAAATTAATTGGTCAAGAAGCAAAGGATATTGCTTACTAAAGATCCTTGTGAAACAGCATGATAAAAGAATTATGCTGGATGACTCATGTTCTTGCTTAAACTTTTAGTCTCATGGATATTTTAAAAAGAATAAAATGTGCCATGCCTGATACCATCTCTGCTTGATTTGGTGCAGCCTGCCTTGGATCCTGTACTTAACAAGGGAAAAAGGGAAAGTCTTTATTAGCATATTAAAGCACAAAAAGCAAGCAACTCCTTAGTCTTTTTCAAAACAGGGCCAAAAAGAGCTGATTCATCTCCTCCTTATCTGCCTAAAAACTGAGTAATAACATATAAAATAGTCAAGCAAAGCTAGAATCCAGAGGGATAAAAGATTATCCTGTGCCTATATCCTTTTTTCCCAATCCAGTCACAATAGATTTATTTGACCTGCACGTTCAAAGTTTGAAGAAAGAGTGAGATGTGAAGTAAAAAACAACTGAAGGTAAAACATTAATTCCTAAGGAGTTTATATGGGGGTCACAATGTTCTTATTGCCAGAAATAACCTGTTTTGTACTGTGTGTGCAACAAAGAGATTCTTTCCAGGCTGCATCCAGTATATCAGGTTCCTTATGGATATGGTAAATGGGAAAGCACTCAGTTCTATTTTGGGGGTAGATTAAGTGAGAGCATGATACTTAGATCATTTCTGGAATTGGCACATGGATTTCTCATCAAATTCTACATGGGAATATGAGAAATGACTTTTGCATATGATTCAAATAATCACAGATAATCTAGTCGTGAGAGTGGCTTCCTTTTAAAGAGGTCCAGAAGTTTAACTCTTATTTCTATGTCTACAGATTATTCTCATTAGGGTTCATTTGGGATTAAGGTTGGGAATAAGCTCTCGTACAGCATCTAGCCCACCTCCCTTACAGGTATTCTACAAATGTGCTTGTCGAGTGAAGGAAGGGATGAAATCAGTTACCTCCTTTCTGCTGCTGTAGTTCTATTAAGTGGACACATAGAGCAATTCATAAGTAAATGTTTTCCCAACACTTTGGTCATTTTGAGAAAAAGCTCTGGAAGAAATTTGGATATTTTGAATCAAAGTCGTGGGTTATCTTTGTCCTTGATATATTGTGTCCTCCGGCTAGTGAATGTTCAGCCCTTCAATCAATTTCCATTCTCTTAGAATACAAAACTTCTATTACAACATTCAGGAAGAGGTGGAGTGATATCACACATGCATTTAATGACCTTGCAGTGCTAGCATTTAACTCCAATAAAGATTCAACCAGTGCCTGAGGATATGAGAGTGGCAGCTGCTCAGCAGGGCCCTAAGAGGAAAGGCCCACGTGGGATGAATGACAGGCAGCAGGTGGCCATGCTCTTCTCAGTGACTTTTTAAAGATGTGTTCCATCAATCAAGATTTAGAATAACAGCCAGCAAATATTTTCTGAGTGCTTCTCCATGTCCACCATTATTACTTTCATATATTCTTCTTCTTTAATTCTCAAAACAACAAACATGTATTAAGGTTATAATGACTAAATACTAACACAGAATGGAGTTAAACTTGTAGGCAATAAAAAGCACTTTGCAATTCTCCATCCTTTCCCCATTCACACTAGGAATTTAAGAATTGTCTAAATGGAAGAAAGGAGAGAATGTCTTGACATTTACATATAGATTTTCCCTTTATTTCTTCCCTTAGTATAGCTCATGGGTTTTCAATTCTAAATGTGAATATGTATTACTATAAGCACTGATTCACATGTATTAAACTTTAAGAGTGACTTAAAGACATTCAAGGTAATTTTGAGTACATCAAATTTTTGCTTTAGGCATTGACTAACCCTCAATTAACAAGAGACTCTACTTTATTCAAAATAAGCAATAAAAATTTTAAAATGTGAAACAAAATTCCAGAAACAGTGGTTATTGCCAAGTGATGTTTCAATGAGTTATGAAAGGAGCAAGAAAGTCATCAAATCATCTTTTCGAACATCAGCATCTTGTCTCATTTGGCTCCGTTGCCAACTACAGGACAGAAAAAGGATCAGATAAGGAAGAGTTCTTCAAGTTCAGAGTTACTTTAATAGGACTCCCTTTCTTTTACAGTCCTAAAGTATAAGAGAAATCTCTCTGCCTTTCTCTGTATCTCTTCGCACCTATGAGAAGGAAAGGCAGACACTTATTTCCAAAAAGTAAAGTTTTAAAATCCCACATTTTCTACCCAAGATCACAGCCTTCTCTGAAATAGCCCTTCTTTCTTAGGATTTCCATGGTAGTCCTTTGCCACATGGCTCCGTAGCCCAGGGTTCAAGAGCATGGGCCTCAGGGCCAGACAAATTGGGTGTAAACCCCAAATCTGCCACTTAGTAAAAGTGTCACTTTGTGCAATTTACTTATCCACTCTGAAACTCAGTTTTCCCAGTTATACAATGGGGATCATTTCTTGCTCCTTCCCAAGACTATTAGGGATGATATGCCTGGAAGTCACCAGGCATTCAGTAGTATTTGTTGACTGAATAAGAATTGTGCAGCACACAGGATAGAAGCAAGCACATGGTCAGGCCTCATTACACTGTAGTTACTAGGATAGTTATTAAATACTTCCTCTCAGCTACTAACTAAGTGACAATGATTTTGTTTTAAACATTCTAAGTAAATAGAAAGAACAAACTTGGGAGACAGGAGGGCATTGGTGAGAGAACAGAAGACCAACTTGTAAGTAATAAGACAGTGTTTGAGACATTTCATTTGTAAATTCCAAGTTTGTCCAGTTCCACATCTGCTGTTAAAACTCATTCCCTAAGGTATAAGGGACATGAGTGCATTACACACCTCGGTAACAGTGGCCTCTACACCTGGCTGCAGCGCGTCACCTCAGCATCAGCTCAGCCATGCTCCCCGGCCTCCTTCAGGCCTCAGCAGTACCGAACTCCTGTTCTCATTTCTCACAGTCTGGGATTCTCCCCCAGAATCTTCTGTGAGGTCTTCCTACTACACTCTGGTCAGCTCCTGCTAAGCTCACTGGCTTCCAACTCAGCAACCCAGGAAGCCTACACTTCAAGACCCCTGCCTGACTAGGCAGCATGGCCAAGCTTCCTGTGATAGGACTATTCTCCAGATTGGTATGGAACATTCCATACGGTGACTTTTCATAATAGCGCCAAAAAGGCATCATAAGACAAGCTCCCTTGCAGTTCAGCTTTTCTTCAGCTTACCTCACCCATCTCTCTAGAGGCAGAAATTCAGAAGTGAGGTATGAGGAGAACTACAAAGACCATGGCACTTGCTTTCCTTCTTTTTCCTCATATTGCCACAGTCATCTTTTATTGCCTTTATATGACATCCTTCTCCTCCTTAATGCCAACTAAGCCTTAATGGCCAAATGGATAGCTCCTTTCTACTTTTTGTTAATTCTATAAGCTTAATCTGGCATGCTGGGTTGTTGATCTGCTAATAAAGGAGGAAACTAAATGAATTTAAAAATCTTCTCTCAAGATAATATCTTGGTTTGCAAAGCTATTTTTTTGGCATAATCTTATTTTGCATGTCAGAAGCTAAATATTACCTTGGTCTTACTCTTTGCACTGCTTCAGAACCAAATTCTAATCTCATGGGAAGATAGATGGATGCCTTGGATAGAGTAGGCTGAAGGTCTTCCATTTGAAAAGGCAAGGGAGAAAAGCACATCAGTAATTTCTTGCTTATTTCCATATAGTGTTTCAGATTCAAAGTAGAATTTATTGGAACATTTCCTTTTAAGAATATTACAGCGACATTCAGGTCATAAAAGGCTACATAACATTTTTAAAATAGCTCATCTATTATTTGTATACGGTATAAAATGTGCAAAAAAATAAACCGGACTCTCCAAATTCGATGTAGTTATAACTGTTTGTGTTGTGTAGATACATTCTCAATGTAAACTATTTTTGTAATTTTATGTTGCTGACATTTATTTATGCTGAACTAAGTTATGATCATTTTCTCTAAATGGAGCCTTAAAACTATACAGCTGTTTTCCAAGACTAAGATTGTTGTTTTTTGGTTATGATCACACTAATAAATTGAATGGCCTGGTTTAATCGCTAGTGTTTTGTGTACACATTGATGTAGATTTTAAACTAGAAAAGCAGAAAATGAAAGTATGTTTTCTCTGGCAGGCATTTGATGTACTTGGAAGAGTCGAAGCTTACCTTAAGCTCCTTAAATCAGAGGGTTTAAGTCTGCCCATCTTGGCAGTGAGGCACGCGGAATTACACAGAGAAATTAAAGACTGCACAGCTGATGCTTTGCAAAAGGGACAAACCTTAATCAGCCAACTAGACTCCCGCAGGTGAGTGAAGTCTATTTCTTCCTCAGTGTAACAAGCTTTTTCACAGTTTCCACAAGCTGTGAAAAAATAAGTTGCATAATTTTTTTTTCTGCTTCTGATGTTTTGCCGCATTATGTTATGGCTTAAAAGGATCTATTGAATTTTGGTCAACAGCGATTCTGAATGCACACAGTGTTGCTCATCCACAAGTAAGGCTATATTCTGAGCCTGAAGACTTAAAGATGCTAAAGCTTTCTGCTTATGCATTTCTGAGGAGCGGAGAGGGAAGGCACAAAATACAAAAGACAGCTTTGGTTTCCAAGGCTTTTCATATCCTATGGTGGTGTATCTTCATGGAGGGTCTTCTTCTCTTCAGTTCTTGAGTCTTGACTCCATCCTGTCTCTATTTCTTTCTAGAAAAAAGTAAAGTATCAGAATTTCCTTTCATTGATGACCCTGTTGGCTCCCCAAGCAAAATACCAAGTAAAAGGTGATCATTTAAATCCAACTGTATGGGTCCCAAACCCCATCCCCTTAAACAGTGTGCTAACAGTCATTTTTATGAGTACTTTTGGTACACGCATCAGTGTGATCTTAGGTTGGGTGGGCATGAAGAGAGAGATGGACCTTGAGAAACAGAGAGAGAGGATGCAGTAAGAAAGTGTGGGAGAGGACAGGGTTGGAAGACAAAGGGGAGATGACAGAGCAGACCATGGAACAGATGTTGTATAGAAAGAATTGAAAGCAGGGCTTACATTTTGATGGAGAGAGACAAAAAAGATTTTCCAAATGGGTTAAACCCAGTTTTTCATCTTCCATATCTACAATCTCCTTGCAACTCTAAGACATTCAATTTAAAGAACAATAAAATAGGTGGAATGTGGCAAAATCATTTTATTGCTTTGTAAACTCTTGTTCTGCTCTATCTTAGATGTTTTTAAAAATGTTGATTTGGTAAATTTGGATTTGGGGAATGTTCTTTCCAGAAGATAGCCCTGAATCTGGAAAGAGACGCAGAGCTTGTGATGGTTGCTATGAGACCAGGCACAACTGAGATTAGAAATAATCCAAGGTCTTCCAGCAAGAGCCAAAAAGTTGAGGATATGAGGACAAATAATTCTCCCCTTTGAAAAACTAACAATAACAACTGTAGCTACTAAGTTTCTTTACTTAACTCTGAGCCATGCACCAGGTAATGATGGTGTTCGTTAGGCTTTAGGAGTTTCAATGTGCCCCATATGGGCCCAAAGAATGGGTACAGGAGCTCCTTCTTCCCCTTTCCTTCTACAGGTCAGCTTTTCCAGAAATGTGTAAATGTCTTGAGCCATGCAAAATATATCCTATGGGTGGAATAGGCGCTTATTGTGCCCGAACTCAGGGTGCATGTTGGACATTGATCTGACTCATTTGTTGGTTGGATTAAGTGATGAGGGCTCTAGGAGTAATTAGGAAATGGTCTGATCTCAGTTTAGCAAACGGGTCTCAATGCACAAATGTTATTTCTCTGGTCAGGCCCAGGTCTTTGTTTGCAATGTGTTTTCTGGCTTTGGGAAGGCTCCTTTCATACATGAGGAGATGAGAATGCAGCCAATTACACCTCCTCAGATGTCTGGAGTTCTGTTTATGTGTCAACCCTTTCTATCTGGTACACTGCCCCACGTATTCTAGGTGCCTTGACTTCCCCAAAGTCTGATCTCTGTCTTCCCAAATCAGCAAGAACTTCCTCTCGACTCTATTTTGGTTCCATCTCTTTGAATTGGTCTGGAAATTACCTCCCAGGCAGAAAGCTGGTGCAATTAAAGTTCATTTCATTTGCTTTCCTTCTCTAAGGAATCACTGTCCTGTGCTACCTGTTGTTCAATGTCTGAAAACCATTGTTTCATTTATTTGTCTGTGTTTCTAGTTGTTTAAGGCATGAGGGTAAAGTGTCTCTGCTTCTTGGCCAGAAACTGAAGCTCCCTTTTCAATTCTGATGTTTAACTCCTGCAGTAAGAAAGGTGGTCACAATGTTTTATTGCTAAACTTTATCCTGTTTGCTCTACTCAGTAATGCTTTATTTTCAATATTTAAATATAAGAAGTAAACTGTTTTTATTTAATATACATTCTATCTTTGAGATTTTATTGACTATTTTTAGCCATCCATTTTGTAATGGTTGACATGCTTATTTATTTTGCTGGTTTCATTCTTTTTGCCTCTTTTGTTCTTTCATGTCTTAATGTCTACATATATATTATTTTTAAAAGGAACATCTATAATCTTATTCTTAGGAGGCAGACTGGATTTCAGTAGAAGAAAAAATAATTAGGGACCATTTCAAAAAACCTGAAATAATGGTTAGGTAAATGGATTTCAAAAACTAATTAGCAGTATGGTTTCTGTCAACGTCTTAGAGATATAAACTTTCACAGAAGTTTCTAAGGTACTTGGTTTCCCTGAGATTTCATAATATTTTATAAATCAATACTATTTCTGTTTTGCAGGAGGAACTGAAGGTAAAATTGTTTCTTGGCAAAAGACATCTTTGATTCAGAAAGTAGATGTAGAATAAAAATCCGTTAAAAATTGAATTGAAATGCATTAGAATCTCCCTTGCAAACTAGAGCCATGCATGGCTACTGCCCTCAATTCCATGCATTCTGTTTGGGACTTGCTTCCTTCCTCATCTAATGATTCATCTGCTCCGTGACCTGAGTCACCTTCACAGGAAAGAAGCAGAACCTAAGCTTTCGAGTTAGGCCACTGCTGGAGTTTAGAATGGTGGCAATGGAGATAAGTGTAAATGTCAGCAGGGAAAAGTACATATTGTTGAACATCATAGTGGCTTTTGAATGCCAGTCACATTACTAGGACACAAGATACTAAGACTCCTATTACCAGACATTGAAAAACCAGCATGGATAAGAAACTTAAGACTTGGTGCCAAAGGAGTTTTATTTTACACATTCTGAGAGCCAAAACAGTGCCATGGCTTTTAAGCTTAATTTCTGTGAACCTCAGTTTCCTCTCTGTAAAATGTAGATATACACTTCATAGAGTTTTTTTTTTTTAATTGAATGAGATAGCACCAGTCTTGGCACATAGAGAGTGCCCAATAAACAATTACAGTTATGTATTGCTTAATAACAGGGATATGTTCTGAGAAACACACTGTTAGGTGATTTGGTTATTATACAAACATCACAGAGTGTACTTACACAAACCTAGATGGTACAGCCTGCTACACACCTAGGCTATGTGGCATATAGCCTATTGCTCCTAGGCTACACACCTATATAGCATGTTATGGTACTAAATACCAGAGGCAGTTGTAACACAATGGTAGTATTTGTATATCTAAACATAGAAAAGGTACAGCAAAATATGGTATTATAATTTTACAAGACTATAGTCATTGACTGAAACATTGTTATGCGGTGCATGACTATACTTCTTTTTTACTTTCTATATAAAGAGCTTTAAAAACAAAATACTAAGAGTTACAAGATTGTTTCAAATGATTACAACAGACTCACCTGCACCAAATTGTTGTATTCGTTTTCACTAACTGGGAAGGTTATGTTTGAAATAAAGAAGATAAACATTTATGTTAAGGTAATAAAAGGCTTAACTTAGTATTGGGGCAGGTAGGAATTTCTAAGGCCTTTTGATCTGATTTTTTTTCTGTTAGTAAAAAAAATAGGAACTTAGAAGTTCACATTTATCTGAGACAAAGCTTCCTCAGTAAATCTGAGACCTTTTCATTATTGTTCTGCAATTACTACTTTACTAGACCCACAGTGTTTTTTTGTTCTGGAACTAAATATATTTGAAGTTTTAGGAGCTTCACAAAACAAATTTTTGTGGTTATTTGTTTCCTTGCCTTTTCTATTTCCTGCCTATAATCTGATGATAATGCTAAGTCATTGTTAAGTGGCTTTTATCTTTTTGGAGTACAATATCTATCATATAACCTAAATATACTTTAATTGTAAAGGCATTTTAGTGCATTCTTTTGCATTTGGTTACAAAGCCAGTTACCTATAATAGGATATGATAATGGTTGCTATAGTCTGTTTTCTGTTGTTATCTACCAGAATACCTGAGACTGGGTGATTTATAAAGGAAAGAAGCTTATTTAGTTCATGATTCTGGAGGCTGGAAGGGCCAAGATTGGGTGACCACATCTGGTCTGCTTCTGGTAAGGATGTCATGCTGTGTCATAACATGGTAGAAAGACAGAAGGACAATAGGGTATGTGTGCAAAAAGAGCAAAACACAGAAGGTAACCTTGCTTTATAACACCCTGCTCTTGTGGGAACTGATCCAGTCCCAATATAACTAACCCAGTCTTCCGGGAAAGACCTTATTCCATCCTAATGACCTCATTGCCTTGTAAACACCACTGTCCAATACCACCCCATTGGGAGCCAAACCTCAACATGAGCCATGGTGGAAACGAACCATATTCAAACCATGGAAATGGTAAAACTTAGACTTACTGTGAAGTTGAAGACCCCAGGCCTCCAACCCTCCTCATCTCTTCCTAGGCATCATCCTTGAGCACTAAGTCTAAAAAAAGACCAAAGATAGCCTGCTATGAAGAGAATTCTGCATTTATTAAACTGTAGGAAGCTGTGGTGTTTGGAAATGTTGGGTCCAGGACCTGATGTGAGAGTTAAGTTTTGCATAATGGGATGAAAATGAGAGACCTCTTTTTGTTCCTCACTGTATCTTCTAGTGCAAAGCTCAAAAACATATAAAACCCCAGCAAGACCAGACTACCCTGTGAAGTGTTCGTTTTCCTTTTCTGTTTGCTAAAATTAACTTAGAATTTACAAGTAAACTTGCTTCAGAGTTAACTCAGTTTCTATCCCTGCACAAAAGACTGTACCCATTTTCATTCTATTGGCATAATGGATTTGAGCTTATAAGTTTCATCCTAACTGAATAGTTTTCTTTGATATAACTTTAAGTATTATCTGTTTCGACCTAATACTTAGTACTTTCCTAATGTAGATTCTTCATATTTTTATATTTTA